CCCTCTCTCGTTTCATTGAATGGAGGGGGGAGCCTATATAATTAAGGCACAGTGCTTCAATGTTGAGCAAAGTAGGAACTCACCTAAACTGAGGCAATTAGGAAAAGTTGCAGAATCACAAGTTTTAAGTTCAAAAAAGGCGCGAAAATCCGGTTTTAATTTGCACGCGAGTTTAGATAATTGTTAAATTTAAAATGTTAATTGGTTCAACTTTTAAGTATTTGCTGTTAGCGCCTGTGTACAAGACATACCTTTAATGAATTTTAGAATAAGAGAGGTTCCTAATTAACTAGGCTATCACAACCAATTAGTCTTTTTTTCTCCATAGCTACCCCCCCATAGTTCTGATATGTGTACACCCCTGAACCTGGTAGAGCTACCCAACCCCCTAAAAAACGAGCTCGTGAACTTGATATCTGATGAATCCAGAAACATTTGTCTCCTCAACCCTTCCCCGGTCCAATCCTGTCTGTCACCCCCCTCCCATACTTCCACCTAGTCCTTCCACCCCCCTTGTCAAGCGTATTCCCTCCCCTACTTTATCTTGTTAATTCAATCTATGTCTATAAATGAGAATAATCGTAAATAAAAGATCATTAAAACTTTTAACTGACAATGAAAGTGTTGGAGGCATGTAGAGAAGGTAGTAGAGACAGAGATGGATGTGGAGGTAGAGAGATGGTAGTGGAGGTAGAGAGATGGTAGTGGAGGTAGAGAGATGGTAGTGAAGGTAGTGATGGATGTGGAGGTAGAGAGATGGTAGTGGAGGTAGAGATGGATGTGGAGGTAGAGATGGATGTGGAGGTAGAGATGGTAGTGGAGTTAGAGATGTTAGTGGAGGTAGAGATGGTAGTGGAGTTAGAGATGGATGTGGAGTTAGAGATGGTAGTGGAGGTACAGATGGATGTGGAAGTAAAGCTGGTAGTGGGGGTAGAGATGGTAGTGAAGGTAGAGCTATTAGTGGGGGTAGAGATAGCAGTGGAGGTAGAAATGGATGTGGAGAATGAGATGATAGTGGAGGAAGAGATGGATGTGGAAGTAAAGCTGGTAGTGGGGGTAGAGATGGTAGTGGGGGTAGAGATGGTAGTGGGGGTAGAGATGGTAGTGGGGTAGAGATGGTTGTGGGGGTAGAGATGGTAGTGGAGGTAGAGATGGTAGTGGAGGTAGAGATGGTAGTGGGGGTAGAGATGGTAGTGGGGTAGAGATGGTTGTGGACCGCAGAGGTAGATGCAGATTATGATGGTCTTGAAGGATATTGTGTATGCGGGTAGTGGTTAGGCTAAGAAAGCGGTGAACAGATTAAAACTATTAAAATCAAATATAAATATTATCATAGATATAAAAATAATATTGTTTTGTGTAACTGATATTCAAATAAAGTCAAGGCTTCAAGTATTCATTCAAGAAAACGTAAATGTTTATTCTTTTTTACCATAAAACATGTAATATTTAATATGAATTTGTTAGATATATTTGAAAGTATGTAAAAGTACGAGGTGTGATCAATAAGTTTCGCAAAAAAAATTAGGGGTATATGTAAAAGTCTCAGCCCTGAAATTTTTTTCTTGGAAGCTCACTACATCTATATCAGATATTTATTCAAATCGGTTGATGTCAACCTGTTCTTTGTAGTAATTGTAAAATGCGTTATCCCAAAGTATATCAGCTTTGTTTGTCCCTGCAAGACAATTTTCAGAATGCAGGTCTGAAACTTGATCCACGAAAGTCTGTTTTAGACCCTTTAAGAGCGATTTAAAGAAAAGAGAGATCAAGTATTTAACGTATGAAGGATTTTTCTGGTTTTGATTTACATTTAAGATTCATAATCAATGTTATCCATTTGGTCCTATGTCAGAGACTTTGGGACAAATTTGGTCCACATCTTTGTCATTTATAAATCTTGGCTTACAACCTTGTTTACAATGTAAAGGCACACTTCAAACTGTCTGGCAAACATACTTCTAGAACCCGTGCTAAAATGATTTGAATAATTTTCAATATTTTTTACCATCTTTGGGGTCTAATTGGTCTTTTCCCGCCCGGACATGTCATAATCCTTTAAATATTTATTTTTCCCTTCTTAACCCCATTAAACTGCCATTAAAGTTCATAAACTCGTTTTAAAATACATAATTTGACTTCCTATTCCAGAGTTTTCTGTTTATCACTGTACAAAATATTTTTAGCCTTGACCTTCTAGGAGCTTGTGACTTTGATGAACATTTAGGATTTGCAAACATGTTTTATTCAATCCTTTTTGTTATACCCTCCGCCAGTTTTTATCCTTTTTATCCCCTCCAGTTTTTAAGTTTTTGTAAGATTGAGCAAGATCAAGTTTAAAGTTTAACATCCTAGAACCTTTCTCTTGTCAGGTTACACATTCTTTTCATGAAATTCATAGCGCTTCGTCACCCTAATTGAAAGGGACTGAAAGAGAGGCATGTCCGATTCACAACGGTACCCCTAAAAACGAAGTCTAATCAAGTAAGAATTACATATCAATGTTTCTTTTTTTGAAAACAGATAATTTTCAATTGTAGTTTCTCTATAAAAAAAATGACCTGCGCAATTGAAACATATCGAAGAAATGATAAGAATTAAACACTTATTAAAGCTAGAAATGCGACGATATTCTCCACGTTATAAATAAAGATGTTAAGGGTACCGTTGTAAATCGGACATGCTCCTCTTATTCTTTAAATGGAAAGTTATTTGAATTTATGTTTAAAGTTCCTTTAAACAAACTAAACATGTTATTTACTTTCGAATTAAACTAAACGTACATTAATTTTGATTTTCTTATTGTACCGTCTACCTGCACATCTAGTTTGTTTTCAATCCTAATCTTAAAAGTTTTATACATATTCTTATATTATTCTTGACTTTTAAGTCTCAAATACTAACTCTAGATAACCCTTAGCTATATTTACCTTATTTCGAAGCGTGTATAAAACTATAGCTTCCATCCTTGTGTTTAAAGTTTAAACATGTTTGTTTTTTCAACTTGATAGTCTATATTTCGTCCTAAACTCTATACCTCTCTATATTTGCTCAACTCGATATTTTTTTTATTTTGTTTTTAACACTGTACCTTTCTATGCTTTCTAAACTCGATATGCTAACATTTCGTCCTTGATATTTATATTTTTTTAAATACACATTCCTTTATAAAAAGCTGGTTTTTTAGTATGCGACATTTTAATTTAATTCCGCCCCTTTTAAAAATAATAATAAATAATAAAAATAATTTGTTAGTTTTTACAAAGGAATGTCATTTACTCCCAAAAATTAGAATCAATGGAAATATAAACCCGGAGGGATTCAATGTTAAACCCGAGGGCCTCTATAACCTTGGTGTTTGTCTTTAACTCTGTAACCTCGGTGTATTTGTCTTTAACTCTGTAACCTCGTTGTATTTGTCTTTAACTCTGTAACCTCGGTATTTGTCTTTAACTCTTTAACCTTTGTGTATTTGTATTTAACTCTGTAACCTCGGTGTATTTGTCTTTAACTCTGTAACCTCGTTGTATTTGTCTTTAACTCTGTAACCTCGGTTTATTTGTCTTTAACTCTGTAACCTCGTTGTATTTGTCTTTAACTCTGTAACCTCGGTTTATTTGTCTTTAACTCTGTAACCTCGGTGTATTTGTCTTTAACTCCGTAACCTCGGTGTATTTGTCTTTAACTCTGTAACCTCGGTGTATTTGTCTTTAACTCTGTAACCTCGGTGTATTTGTCTTTAAATCTGTAACCTCGGGGTATTTGTCTTTAACTCTATAACCTTGGTGTATTTGTCTTTAAATCTGTAACCTCGGTGTATTTGTCTTTAACTCTGTAACCTCTGTGTATTTGTCTTTAACTCTGTAACCTCGGTGTTTTTGTCTTTAACTTTGTAACCTTTGTGTATTCGTCTTTAACTCTGTAACCTCGGTGTATTTGTATTTAACTCTGTAACCTCGGTGTATTTGTCTTTAACTCTGTAACCTCGGTGTATTTGTCTTTAACTCTGTAACCTCGGTGTTTTTGTCTTTAATTCTGTAACCTTTGTGTATTTGTCTTTAACTCTTGTAACCTCGGTGTATTTGTCTTTAACTCTGTAACCTCGGTGTTTTTGTCTTTAACTCTGTTACCTTTGTGTATTTGTCTTTAACTCTGTAACCTCGGTGTTTTTGTCTTTAACTCTGTAACCTTTGTGTATTCGTCTTTAACTCTGTAACCTCGGTGTATTTGTATTTAACTCTGTAATCTCGGTGTATTTGTCTTTAACTCTATAACCTTGGTGTATTTGTCTTTAACTCTGTAACCTCGGTGTATTTGTCTTCAACTCTGTAACCTCGGTTTATTTGTCTTTAACTCTGTAACCTCGTTGTATTTGTCTTTAACTCTGTAACCTTGATGTATTTGTCTTTAACTCTGTAACCTCGGTGTATTTGTCTTTAACTCTGTAACCTCGTTGTATTTGTCTTTAACTCTGTAACCTCGTTGATTTGTCTTTAACTCTGTAACCTCGGTGTATTTTATATTTAACTTTACTTTGCTCGATGGTATATTTTTATCCTAACTCTACAAGTACTTTAACCGTTTACAAAATAGCTTTAATCTTCTTAACAATCTATTGACCCCCCTCCCTCCCTTACTTATCAGGCACACCCCTTAACCCCCC